CTTGCAACTTAAACGTAAGATTTACTATCTTACCAGCGTTGAAGATCCTCCTGACATGCTTCTGATTCATTGCGGTGGGAATGACATTGGCCATATCAAATTAGACCAGTTTTGGAAATTTATTGAAACTACCCTAGAATATATCGCGTTTAGCCTACCAAATACACGACTAATCTGGTCACAGATCCTACCCAGAAAACATGAAATAAACGCTAGAGCTTTTATCCGACAAACATCACGCCTAAATAGTTGTGCTTCCACGCAAGTTTTATGGTTGGGAGGGGCCTACATTCATTATCCCGATATAAAATTTAAATTTGAAAATTTATATAGAGATGATAAAATTCATCTCTCTGACATTGGCAATGATATATTCCTTAATACAATTCAGGGCGCCTTGGAATTTTTTCACTGGAGTTCAGGATAACTTATATACATGTAAGTTATAGCGAGATATGGTCGCTGATTCCTTGAATTTGAGGAGCTCCCCCATTTTATGGCGGTGATGCAGATTCAAAAAATGTATCTGCATCATTTGGCAATAACGCTCACAAATTCAAGATATGACAGACTTGCGACCTCAGATTGTTCGGGTCAAGTCATATCAAGGTCATAAGTGAATGTGACTTGCCATTGTGGCAGTCATTAGTGAACTTAAGTGAAAATAATTGTTAATGAATTGACTTACGTTTTTAAATTGAATTTGTTGTTTATTGAAATTTGAAATTATGAATTTTATTTAATAGTTTTATACAATGATAAAGTAACGAAGTAAATTGAATTGAAGTGATCTTGACTTAAATGAATTGAACTTGATTGGAATCAAATGAAATGAATTGAACTTGGTTGAAATGAAATGAATTAAACTTGATTGAAATGAATTGAACTTGATTGAAGTGAATTGAAATGAATTGAACTTGATTGAAGTCAATTGAAATGAATTGAACTTGATTGAAGTGAATTGAATTGTATTATTGAATTGTTTGTATTACATTAACCGCGCCATATCTCTGCCAAACCTTAATAAATAGTTTTAATTTTACTTTGTATTTTGTCTATGAATAATAAAGTGTTATGTACTTACCCGTCGCATTGTTTCATCATGAAGCACATCAAAGAAAAACAATTAAATTGTTGATGTAATAAAGATATATATTTGCTAATATGTACTTACCGGCAGCTGATATTCTAAAGTTATGTATATACTCACCTATAAATTGTTTTTATTATGATACAATATGTTATTAATGATTAAAATCATTAATAACATATTGTCTGTATCATATTTTTAAAATGAATAAGTCAAGCCTTATAATGTAATTTAATTGGTCTGTGTGGTCCTTTGGGTTGGTCCGAATAGCAAGGATAAATATGGGTCCGATATTATGCAATATAGATGCAGGTTTGTTTTTTTTTTCTCCTTTTTTTTCTAACAATATTTATTCAATATTTACATATTATAAAGATACAATGTTCAATTATGGGATCTGAAAACAAGCCGTACAGTTATATAAATGCATTGTTTATAATTATAATCACGATTTACATACAGTTATAATTACAAAAGCAAATGCAGGTCCAATCAAGAAACTTGCGTGTTCACCGTCTAGTATAACTTTCAAGCTTCTGATATCTAGATTTTAAATGTAAACATATATGTATAGATTGCAGTTACACAGGGTACATGTATATGCAGTAGGAATTCGTTAGTTGGACGTACAAAAGAATGGAATCATTCAGAAATTGTACTCAAAATAAGAAAATTATAATGGAGTGAAGGCGAGAATTACATGTAGGCCTAACACACTCGTGGACATTGTATAAATATATGACATCTGCATGTAATGTACACGTGTGTGAAATGGCTTTATTCAATATCCGCTTCCACCGAAATGAATTGTGCGACATTTAAAGTAGATGTATATTGTCACAGCGGAGATTTGTCGCCGATTAACACAGACAGACTAAGAATATAGTCCCAAAAATGGCGCATTTCTGACCACGTGACTTACCGTTAAGCGCCCCGTGGAGTGGATCGAGTGCTCTATGAATGATTGATTTAGATTAACTGAAGCTGCAAGCTCATCGTATGACGTATATAATTTAAAGTTTGGATTTTAGAGCAGCCAATAATTGATACGTTGTAAAAAAATTGTAAGTTGTTCGTTGTTGCATACATTTTGGCCGACGTTATATGCATGTACAGTGCGTTAGAAAAAAATCCTAACGGATACAGAATGCCGGTAAATGTTTTCCCGAGATTACCGAACTCATTTTGTTGTTATTCAAACCGGCCTGTACATTATACATGTACACGTTTTCACGGCAGCATTGCTATATTACAACTCCTTCAATATAAACATTTCGTTAAAATCTGAACAACGCATGTGAAATTGGATGTTCGGCAACAGAATTGAATACCTGGCGTAATTGGACACCTTGACTAATTTGAATCACAATTCGGGAAATTGAACGTTCCAACGAATTATTGAACAGTTATGAAAATTAAGCGGGACGCTTATAATTACACACGTGTCGACAAACTAAACACTATTAGGCCAAATTCAATGATATTTATGAATAATTCTACATAGATTAGATAACGCTATTTACCCGAGATTCCACGGTACCAGTCGTATAGTGCAAACATATGCTGACAGTGACATTGATTTCAATAGTGATGATGATTATTGATGAAATTATTTGATTTTTTTATGAGTAGACCTAAACCTGTTTACATGTATTTTTGTAAGCGTTTTTTAAATATTACATAAATTGTAATTTAAACACGTTTTATTTAAATGTACTGTTCATATCATATTTTGTCACTTTATGCTAACTATATGTCTTTATTTTACTTTTTTTTCTAATTCATTTTACTGGAACCATTTTATTTAGATAACTGTTTTTCTCTTGTATATACTTTTAACTGGTATATATATCCTTTAATTTTGTACAGTGTATATGGGCACAAGACATGATCTGTCTGTAAATACATGTGTTCTGTGAATATAACAACCAAGAGCGCATTAGAAACTGTTCCCCAGTATTAACATGATTATAAATGACGATATTATTATTATTATTATATACATTTTTCATCAATACTAGTGGTATTGTTGTGTATGAGGAAATTTATATAATCGTATTTGTTTATTTTTTCTTTATTTCTTTCTTTCTTTGTGCAGTGGACGCTTACGGCTAGCCCCCGGATCCATTAACTTTTTTTTAATTGTCTGTTTGTGTTTTTCTGAGTACGATGTCTTGTCCGTGTATTTGTTTTTGTGTAAATTTTGTGTGGTGCATCATTATTAATTTAGTTTCATCGTTCAGATCAAATGGTATTGCTATTTTGGGGGGGGGGTTTACTCAACATTATATGTAATTATAATACAGAACCAGTATTTCAATCACGCCAAAATCGTTTTCACCTGAATTATGTATGTAGTATATATTTCTCTTGGATATTGTTTCAATGAAATAAATTTGAAAAAATACATTTTTTGAGAAAATATCTCATTCATTGTATTGGTGCAATTTCCTTTTTGACCACATTTATGGCACAAATTTGGGGTTAGCCGTGCTCACGCAACATTTGTTTTATGTTATTGTCCCGTAATCCCTGCAGATTTGCAGGGAAATTCTCTCTGATAAATGTAAACAAACCAACATGTTCCGTCTTGTAAAAGGTATTCATTGCCTATTTATGGCTATTGACCCGTGACCCTATGACATTGTTTGCTTTTATGGTTTCTGATTGGCTTAGAATTTGATTTTTTCACCGCATTATGGCTACACTTGACAAATATAGTTCCAATGCGTAATTTGAATGCTAGACTTATTGTGCAATGCATCAGAAATGCAATGTTTACGACAGTGACAGCCTACTGGTTTACTTATGCAATAAAGCATCAGATTTTCACCTGGAATTCGCTGGGACGAGATGAAACGATTTTCGGGGCTAAATCACAGCCTATATATATATGTCAATGTCAGACACCAACGTATCGGAATATAATAAGATATCTCTTCTATGAGTCTAGAGTAATGCCGTATTCAAATTCGAGCTCAGCCATTCTCAAGAGGAGATGAAGAAAAAAAGGAAAAGTCGTTCATGTCGACATTATGTGCCAAAATGCACTATATTATATGTCTCACATGTCCATAATTTTGGTCTGTTTATGTTGCAAAACACTGTCAGCATGCACAAAAACATTGAAGCAGACGAAATAGATGTCACTTGCAAGCTGTCAAACAAACCACCTGATGTAAACAATTAACCATGTGGCATGGATTGGGTCACAGCCTGCTCTTCAGTATGAGTGAATTTACACGATGGCTTTGTGTTCTAAACATTAAAAAACATAAATTCGTGTTTATAATATCCTAATAAACAGCCCATTTGATCAGATTTTGGGCCAAACGATGATGTGAACAAAATACAGCAGTAAATTGAATGCTTACTATAAAGACCAACTACATCACTTCCAGTTTTAATAAAAAAAAAATAATTTCCCGCTTATAAAAACTTTTTTGCTTGTGTTACAGAGGGGATTATGTCTGAACTTATGGAAACCTTGTTGAAAATTGTTGGTCTTCCCCTTTAAGATAACTCACAGAAAATTCCACACAATTCATTTCTTCCCAAACGAATGCAGGATTCTAAATCGACCACTAGGACAACATACCTGACCAATGTAAAAGATTTAGGGTCACAACTGTTCGAGTTGGAGCGTTTTAATATTAGGATAAAAAAATTGGTCCAAATATGACAAATTTTGTCCCCCAAAAAACAATTTCCAGTTATACCAGTAGTTGACATTTTATAAAATTTCACATCCTGTGACTTCTGTCGCCTACGAAACCTAATTTCTGCATGGCCCTCTCGTGGACTTGTTCTTAATAAGCCAATTGATGACAGACGGACCAAATGACATGGGTGACGACTTACAGAGGAACTTTCAAGGGTCACTTAAAGTGGTTATATAGAATATAATTACGTGAAAATGATTCTGTATCTTCGTCTCTGTAGATTCCACGAGACATGACACTTGTTGGTGTACCAGGGCGGCTAAAAGAATCAAAGTCATCCAAGTCTTGACCATCACTGCCCTTGCTACTGCGACCAATCCGTGGTGACTTGGCTGATAGTTTGCATTGGCTGTTACTTCTTTGAAAAACACTTTGTGGTGGAGCATGAACATATTCACTAACAAATGCATCTTTATTTTTCACTTGTGTTCTTTTATCTTGCAGACTTTTACCACGATTAGGTCTCAGTGTATGTTTTGGTTTTGACACAACAACCCGAGGATCTGTAACTTTAATCGGTATAACTTCACTTGGTGATGGTGGATCAGTATTATCACATATCAATTTAATATTTTTATCATCATATTCATCAGCAGAAATACTTCCAATTTCTTCATTAGATGAAGATTGACGATATGCTCTTCTAATGCTTGCATGATGACGTAAAGGTTTCTGTGATTTGGATACCTTTTTAGCAGGTGGAAGGAGAGGTGGTGGGGGGGACTCAACAGAGGACTGGGAACCAACAGATTCTGATGTGAAACCAGATATTCTGTTAGCTCGTTCATCTGCATCCGTCTCATTTTGTGTAAAATTTTTTCTAAATTTTGCATTATTTTGAAGAGCATCAAGAATTGGAGATTTAGGTAACTTGGGATGTTTATCTGGGTTGTCTTTCACTGATCGTTCATTTGATTTGTGAAGCTCATCAAATTTAAACACTATGTCATCTGCAACATATTTGTTGCTATCTATTAAAGGAGTATTTTTATCATTTCTATTACTCAATAATTTCTTTTGAGAAACTGGGCTTTCAAACTCTTTGTTTGAGGTATTTCCATTTCGAAGCACTTCATTAGAATAACTGTAACTGTTGTTGCCTTGTTCTTCATCCAGGCTGACCTTGTACTCCCCTTGTCCTTGCTTGATATGTTGACGTTTACGATAACAACAGATACAAATAACTGCCAGTATGACAAGAAAGAAAATAACACCAGCCACTATTCCAGCTACTAGTGGAATATTTACTTCAGAAGAGTTAGGCCCATTAAAAACTTGATCAGCTGAAAGCAACAAAAAATAATTGCAAAATTTACAATGAAGCTTTAACTACAAGGACTGTAGGACACAAGGACTGATTATTATACATTCCATGCAACGTTTTCTTATTGTTTTCATTTTTGTAATCAAGAGACATTTAACTCTGAAAGTCATCTCGAAAGGAAAACTTGGATGTTGAGCAAATCAAGGACCCTTGAAGAAATATAATTTCTAGGGTTCCAATTGCTTCCAACCAAATTTGAAAAAAAAAAAAAAAAATCTGCATCTAACGCCTTCACAAGGTATTTGGCAAAGGGGGGGATAAGTCAAGATCCATTAAAACCTATAGCCTTTAACGCATTCACAAGTTTTTTCAGAAAAGGGACAGAAAGTTGCGGATCGCTGAAAATCAATAGGGTTTCATTTTTTGATTGGCTTATACCTTCTCTTATTTTCAGTTTATTTATAATATTATCGTCATCAATTTATTTGCCAATTCTCTATAAGGCCACCTACAAAAAAAAAAGGGGTTGATTGTCCTTTTTTTTTCAAAAAATGTGGGAGGGAGGGAGGGAGGGAGGGAGGTTTTTTTTGTTTTTTTTTTAATGAATACAGAATAAGCAATATACTTCAGGAATATTAACCTTTTATTTCATGTCAAAACACAACTCATCTGCATATAAAGCCGCTGATCGTCATTTGAATTGTTCAGATTAATTTTTTAAACTTTAGATATTCCGGCTTGGATTCAATCAGATAATATAAAGAGATTAATAACTGAACACTTAGTTTAGGCCTATAGGTGGTGCCGACTGGTTTAATGTTGCAGGATATCAAATGTTGCAAAATTTTCAATTCATATCATGTCTTTGGACTGATATCCTCTTTAGACATGCAACTTTCATAATATTGTATTTTGCGAATAGTAAGAAAAGAAGAGCCATAAAAAAACCCCAAAAAAAACAAAAAACATTTTGCATAACGACTTTATACGATCACTATAATAATCGGTCAATTTAGTCATTCATGCCCCCAATGGCCATTCCGAAAATCTGTTGTTACATTTATACGGGAGACTGTTCCACGTAATTCAGAATTGGCGAGACGTATATTCCCAACTTAACATATAGTTCCAGGTTGTATTGTATTCAAAATATTGTATTTGGTGCTGAATGCGTCAAGGCCTAAAATATGGTTAAATTCTTGTAGCACGGATTCTGTGTCCGGTGGATTAAGCTCCGGTTTCCCATCTTTATTTCAATACTTAAGATCACAGATAATACTGAAAATTAGTGAAAATTATGTCAAAAATAAAGTGAAAGTGAAATGACGGTGAAGGACGCAGCGGATCAAATACCAAACCTACTGAAAACCTGACTAGTGAGCGGATGCGGCTGGCGCTCACTCGACTCATCCGAGGGAGTCGATCGGGTGCCAAATGATCTGATCGGACCTTCGCAACTGACCACCACAAGAGGAAACACTCATTAGGGGTCAGGAGGAATCGCTACCTTACACTTTTTCAGAGCCTTACGCCATTTCTTTCAGAGCACGGTTTTCTTATTTTCGAAGCACGGATTTTTCATTTCGAAGCACGTTTGTGGTCCAAGGCACGTTATTTTAGGCCCTGGTATGCGTGCAAACAAAAATGTCGGCCATTGCTGTCGTTAACAGGTCGTAATTTGTATATGTCATTCAGTCCTACGCATTTTAAGAGTATTGGAACACGTGCCAATAATTATATCCGCTTCATTAACTCTTGCGATTAGGAATTTCGTAGCCTGGCTACATTTTGGAACTTTTACCTTTGGTTTTAAACATCATAAGAAGGTTAATTTTGAAAATAAAAAATAAAAAAAAATTCTGGTCGGGTAAAATTTTCTGGGCGGGCGGGGACGATCACCAACTTATTTTTTTTTATGTCGCCTAAACTTACAATGGCATATTCTACATTTTATTTATCCTTATTTAGGGTTCTTGTAATACTACGCTGGACTTTCAAAAGGCATAATCAACATGTCTATAAAAAGCCTTTGCCATGCAAGATACACCAACATTTTGCAAAAGATGGACAGAGAACAAGCTAAAAAAGCTATTTTCGTACAATAAGGAGCCACACATGTAATCCAAGATATAAACATACATTTTAAGTTTCATAAAAATTGTGACCCCTAGAGGGTCCACAACACTATTACACGCTTTAACACTATTTGCGTTAAGGTGTGCTGCTATTTTGAAGGGATATTTTGGTCCGATTTTCATGAAATTGAACGGTTTTTAGAGGGTCCTCAAACTAAAAATTTATTTTATGTACAATCAGGGGCCATAACACTGGAAGTTACGGTCCGGGATCTGTGGAATATAAACATAAATTGTAAGTTTTATCAAAATTGGATAAAAATTGTGATCTCTAGAGGGTCCACAACCTTGGTATTACATACTTTTACACTATTTGCGTTCAAGGAGCTGCCATTTTATCATTTTACGAAATTCGAACTCAACCATCATTGATGTGTAACGGTGATATATTTAAACGTTTTTCACAACTGAATACAAATTGTGACTTCTAGTCTAGCGGGTCCACAAGCTAAAATGCAATTTTTCGAACAGTCAGGGGCCATAATTCAGGAAGTTATGATCCGATATGCGCGAATATCGAAAGGAACCAGGATCGTTGCGTTATAAACATGCACTTCAAGTTTCATCAACTAAAAACATGATTTTTCGTACAATCAGGGGCCATAATCCATGAAGTTTGGATCCGATACATGCCAACATCCAAGAGAAACCAAGATCTTTTGGAGATAAACCTATATTTCAAGTTTCGTCAAAATTGGATAAGAATTTTGACCTGTAGAGTGTCCACAATCAAATTGTGGACGTCCGGACGGACGGGGGCAATGACAATATACGTCAACATTAAAATGTGGGCGTATAAAAAAACAGATGATACATATTAATTAATTTCACATTTATCTTTTTCAAAAGTATTGAGTAATGAAACTGATTATCTATGCTTAGTCTAAGCATAAAACGTTCACTATCAAACTCAGGTTTTGAAGTACCTGGTAGTGAATGAAACTATACACCAAGTTTCATCACTCTCCACCAGTTAGAACCAAAGTTATCTTGTCCCAAAGCATCGATCAAAGAAATTGCCTAGCTCTGCTTAGCTTTAACGGGAAATAATAATCATTGAACACAGTCAAGACATTTGCCTAATGAACATATCTCAATTAAAAGCAGAATTGTTACGTTCCAATGTTATGACCAATCAAATTGCTTATCGCTACTTAGCCTAAGTAGAAAATTCTCATCATCGAACTTAGTCAATGTATTGATATAATGAATCTATACACACAGTTTCATCGCTCTTACCCAAATAGAACCAAAGTTATCTTGTTCCAAAGTCTCAACCAACCAAATTGCTCATCTCTGCTTAGCCTTAGTCAGTGGCGGCGCCAGGGGGGGGGGGGAGGGGCAAGGGGGGGCATTTTTACCCCCCATTAATCTGGTCTGCCCTCTGTTTGCCCCCCCAATAATTTTAGAAAATAAAAAAAGTATTTGTGAAACGTTTCGGTAATCAATACCTTCTACAGTGAATAAATCCCACAAATTTATTTTCCAAACGTCCTAAATTGTCCGACCAGGAATATGCCCAATCGGACATCAAGACATGATAAATAATATTCAAAATTCCAAAATTAATATAGTATACTGAGTGCATAACTACCACTCAACCCGATTATCGTTGATAATAGGCTGGATTGATTAGGTAATTAAGTGATCAACGTATTTATCGTTTTATGCCGTTAATACACCTACCCTTGATTAACTACTTAATCTGCCTTGATTGGCTGACTTAATTCTTTGTCGGACAATTCATCAATTCAATCCTGAACAGATGCCATTGCTTCTCTTTGTCGAACTATATATCAATCCAATAAACTTAATCTATGTGATTAACCCGTGATTTCTCACGTTTTAATCTCCTTGATGTCGGCCTAGACATTAGTCATATATGTCACATATCCTAATAGTATATAACACCCCAAATCAATATACATTGCGTCCGATAACTTGTCTGTGATATTTCTTCAGTGGAAGCCGAAGTTAAATAAAGCTATTTCACACACACGCAAAATGAAAGTACAAATCTCGCGAGACACGTGAAATTAAGAGGTGTAAACTTGCCGAATGTAATACGTCTGATGTCGGCAGAAAAGATTCTATTTTGATGGCATATTGTCGGATTTATGATCATATTTTGAATGGGGTTCATGTTTTTAAATAAATAAATAAACACGCTAAGAAATGTTGACGAATATTTCGATTGGAATACCATAAGTAGTTACAGTAATTGCTTTTAGACAATAGCGCGTGCTTGGAGTCAAATGGGATTATTTAGCAGTTGGTGTCACTCACTCGTTCTGTTAGAGCGACGTTTACTACTGTTTACTGCCAAATAAATTTTGGCATGTCATTTTTTTTACCTTCCGTATATAAATCGAAACGGAGCATAAGACGAATGCCGGACTTTGCTGAAAAATGTATCGACTTATGACCCGAAAAATACGGTAATTTTGGTGGAATTTGAAACCGGTACGGATGGGCAAAAGTCGGCACGCTTTCATTCTATGGTATTACGAGGTCATGTAATTTTTTAGGAATATTATCGACATAAATTTGAATACCGTACGGGAATTAAATATGAAAAATTACGAGGTGCATCTAATTTTTTTTTTATTATGTATGAATTTGAATATTTTGTTGACACGCGATTCTTAATTGTGGTTTGAAAACGCCTGCTTAAATAACGATAAGAGTTATGTCCCTTTATTTTCGGGAAGAAAATGTCCGACAACTAAAATTTTGAAATCCCATCACTGGTACGAACTGTATGTGACTAAAAAAAAAATGAACTTTATGGAAATGTAAGAAAATTGTTTTCAGTGGAAAGAGCCTGAAATATGCATAACTATGATCTTTGAATTTTAGTTTTACTCTAAAAGTCAAAAAAAGT